GAGTCCTCGTGCATCCACTTACTTTATCTGTTTAAATTGTTTTGAACAGTTTAACCCTAAAGTTTAATCCTGATACCCATGGCATCCATCAAGGAGCGGTGGTGGGATGCACAGCAATGGAGAGGGAGGTGCGTTTAAAGCCAGACCTCCACTACGTGGGCCAGACAGCCAGTGAGGGAACTTAGAGATAGTGGTGGTGGCAGTATGGAGAGAAGAGTTGTTGCCAAACCACCTGTGGGTGGACAGGTGGGCACAGATGTTGCAAGAAAAAGTGTTTTTCTCCAATTCCCTTCCTTAAGTTTCAGGCAGTCTGGTTAGGCTGTCAAGGGAAAGGGGAAAAGGGAGAGGGCAGGCCAAAGTGCAGATGAGAAGGACAAATAAGCAGTTCTCTCACTGTTAATCAAAACAAGAAAACATGTGTATACAATAGTGCAAAACACTTAAAGTGCTTAGTTCATGCAAGCAAAGTGCCTTGGTGATTCTTAATTATTTGTTTCTTCACCAATGTGAATAATGAAATATATAATAAATTACTCAAAATACTCAGAAAACAAATAGAACTTGCTATTACTAATTTGAATGTTTTTATGCTCATTTGCCTTTGGGGGTGCAACTTTCAATTGCCCCCAATGCAGCATAATGAAGATGTTACTACTCAATATTGTTTTATTCTAGTCTTTATAGGTGGATTGTATCGCAATTTTTGTTGAACTATAGTGACTGCTGGGCCAGCCAGGTAGTGGGCAGGCAGCCAATGCCAGGAGAGCGGACAGGGTTATGTACTTTATAATCATTATAACTCACCCTGCCTAATCTCCTTTATGTTTGTTCCTGTCCTGGCTCTGCTGCAGCAGAGACAACGCCCGTCCCAAAAATTCACAGAGGTAAATGTTCTATATTTAAAAAAACATAACGTTCAAAAGGCACAAATAACTATTCAAGTACATTTTTAAAAACAAATTCATTAAATGTTGCAAAGCATATAAGACACTGCTACTGAGGAAGCTCATAGAAGAGTGAAACACGTTTAGCTGATTTCTGGACTTTCTATTTGGACTTTTCTATTTTTTAGATGAAGTATTATCTTTGTTTTAACTTATTGTTAATAAATTACTTTTAATACTTTATATTTTAGTCCAACAAGTCCTTCCTAGCCATCAGGAACTTTCATCGGGGAGTGCTACCCCACAAAAACTAGCACATTGTCCATCAACCTCAGAGAGTTCATAGGCTCTGTCAAAGGTGAGCACAAACCATTACCACCTATATTATAACCACATTCTATACAATACTACACAGCCGGCCTGTCTCCCCTTTTTTCTGTTCCATATCCCTGGAGGAGTACCGCTTGGGACAAAGGGGTGCATTTGCTGCCCAAAAAGCATAAAGGATCTATTTACAGAGCCAATATTACATAGGCTCCAGTACATGTGAGTGGTTTCAGTCATTTATTACCATCATGTATCCTCTTTTGGAAACCATCTGCACTATATATTTGTTTCTGTTTCCTTTTGTATGTATATTCAAGCATATACGTTCAGGACTGTCACGGTAATGAAGGGGTGAGTGTACCCCTATATTGTTCAAATTGTAATAGCGCTCCATTTGTTGGTATATAGCCTATACCACTATCTCTTGTGTTTTTGTACTTTATTGTGGATAAGGGGTATTCCACTTTTAGTATTGACCTGCTTCTTTTACCTCAGGCACTGTAGCGTTTCACTCACTATCCCTGTAAAGAGATAGCTACTTTCTGTGCTTAACCATATAACACACTGCTGCTGTGTGGGATTGATTACTCCCTGGGAAACATGGAGAGCGGATGAGGGTGATGCGAGATGCACTATGTAACCTGCAGTCTATGTTTTGTGCTGTCTTTTTTTTTTTACTTTTCTGGGTGCACTTACTTGAAATAAAGGATCAGCAATACATGACACTTATTTTTCAGGATTGTTTATCTGCACCCTAATATGTTAGTATATTAGTTTGGCAGTTATTGTTTACCACTTTAGTTTGTTTACTGCTGTTTAGTTAATAATTATACATATAGGACTTGTATTGGGATTAGTAAGAATGGGAGGTTTTAAATGGTGAGTGGTATTGTATAAGGGGGTGTGGCCAGGGAGGCGTGTGACTAGAAAGGGGCACTGTGAAGATTTTACACACAGGATGCCAAAAGGTCCAGCCCTGAGTTGGGGCTCTTGAGTACTCCAGCAAGAGCCAACACCAATGGTGTCAGGAAATCTACCTCTGGTGGGACTTGAATGCCTGTTTCCCGCATTCTGCCTCTAAACTCTGCCCATACGTTATCGCCCCTCGAGTTATCTGTCAAAGGATTTTATTGGAGACCAATGATCACACTACCATTCTCACATTCTCATGGTTGTCGACAGGTTTTCAAAAATGCAACTCTTTCTTCCATTGCCCAAGTTGCCTACCGCTGCAGAGCTTGCTCAAGTCTTTGCCAAAGAGGTTGTAAGGCTCCATGGATTGCACTCTGAATTTTTCTCCAGGTTCCTTGCACCGAACCTGACATTACAAAATGGCCAAAACATCTGGAAACCAGCTTAGGTGTGGCAACATGAAACGTAATGCTCTGGGAGCAAAACCCGGAGATCTTTAACCTGGAACGTAAGTTGGCTACGAATGTACAAGCACCCTCCATTAAACAATGCCCTGCCTACCAATCCCATTCTAATAAAAGTGAGGGAAGCCTATTAGATCTATTATCTGTAAATAAAAATAAACAAAGAGAAAAAAAAAAGAAAAACCATACTTGCTTTGTTTTTATTTTTCTTTGTTTTACAATCCACCTCTTTTTTCAGCCCCCAAAAAAGACAATACAAAAGCCCATCACTATTAAAAATAAAAAAAAAGACCTGGATCACAAAAAAGTAGCAACCCCTGGATTTAGTAGCAATTAAATTGGATACTTTGGTCAGGGCAGTTTTGACAGCGTGACGAGCATGGAATCCAGACTGAAGGGAGTCAGTTATAGAGTTGGGTTCAAAGAAGTCGGTCAATATTTGAGTTGCAGGATATGAGTTGCAGAGTGTCGATAATGTATAACTCACCCTCAGGTTTTTGACCTTTCAGCTTTACTAGGTAACAGTATGCATCACATGTCATCACCAAGTAGCCAATGTCAAAAAGAGTAACAAAAATATATCTCTGAAAATTATAGGAAAATTAAAGTAGACTCAGGAGTTTAAGAGTTATCATGAATGTGTTCATTTATTTAATTTTAGATATGTACACTTTGATCATATTATTTAAAGGAACGTTCTATAACACCATAACAATTTAATTTAGTTAAGCTGTTGTGGTACTAGGAGGTACAAGGTACTGTCTTCCCTTAAGGGATAAAACTGTTTATGAATGGTTGTGAAGACAAAGCCTACCTGCCCCCAGCTATGGCCTAAGGGCTTCAATGAGGAAGCCTTAGACTCTGTCTTGTTAATAGACAGAGAGTGTCATCTGATGCTCTGAGCCGATCACTAGCTCCACATTGACAAAACTATCTGATAGAGGACTGTAGGGGGATACTTATAGGATAAAGGGTCAGCTGGTGCTCTCAGCCTATCAGCAGCTTCTGGGCTAAGGCTTCTCACAGGCTTCCTCACTGAAACCTTGGGCCATCGCTAGAAAACATTGGCAGAGCAGATGGGCGCTGTCTTCTTAACTTTGGAGTTAAACCATTTGTAAAAGGTTTATCCCCTTAGGGTAAGACGGCCCCCACGGAACTCCAGGCACCGTAACAACTACTTTGAGATGAAGTTGTTATGGTTCTCAGAGTGTTCCTTTTAAATATCTTAATTTTTTACAGACTTATGTATTGATATGGTAGCTAACTGCTTTCAATGACATATTGTGGAGTTTTAGCTCTATTGTTGGAAGGCTTCAGCCATTGGTAATAACACAGTGTATGCAGGATAAAAATAAACTATAACCTCTTCATGACAAAATTTCCCAGGATTTGCCTAACCCCTTGTTATGAAGTCATCAATTAAAGAAATAGAAACATTTTAATTGTTTCCATCTTGTTTTACCTGTTAATACTGTGAAATGGATTATAAACTCAAAACTCACTTTATAAAAAAAAATAATCGATAACTACTACCAAAAATGTAATGTACATTCTGATATTGATCTGACATAGCCTTGGTTTTCATTTATAGAACTTCATTTTAACATCAACATACATAAAATATAAGATTAATAATTAAAAAAACATGATCAATTTGCTTTTTATGAGAGCTTTGCAATGATGATTTCACAAATAAAAAATTACAGTTTAATTAAATGAAACATTCAATTATAGCATTCATTGAAAAACTTAAATTATAATACTTACCATCATGTATATGTAGATACGGACAGTTTCCAATCTGAGTTCTATAAAATCTGGTAACAGTTACTTATATAAGAACAACTGGGAGTATTCTGACCAAAAGGGACCTTTAACCTGTGTGTGTGTGTGTGTTTTTACTTTTTTAATAGATATCTAAACCCAACAATATACATAACTGTCTACTAGCCTATGTTTGAAATAACAGGACCTCCTATTTCAAAGCACAGAAAAACATTATAATTATAGAAGTTCAAGGCGAGAACGGTGCATTAATCGCCTTCTATAAAATTTCAGTGAGCAAGATTTTGAGTCAACACTGGATGCATATGTTCAATAGACCTGATTTTGAAAATGTACGTTTTTTTCAGAATAAGGAGAATAATCCCAAATTCCTCTTTTCATGGGCTTCAGGATGTTTTAAAAGTGCAGTAATACACTATGCTTAAAGGAGCTCGTCGGACACCATAACAATTTCATCTTAATAAATAATAAAAATGCATGATGACCGTGTGCATTTTTACGAAATAACAATTAAATAAAAACGTGTATTTCATTTTGAACAGATTAAAATATGTATAAAAATCCAATTATACTGTATTTCTTTTAAATATAAGATACATCGGAATGTAAGACTTTCCCATAATTTTAACTAGAAAATTATAAATAAATAAATAAATAACCAACTAATACTTAGTGTTCCTTTAGTGTCTCTTAGGTATCATCAAAATCAAGAGTAATGATGTTAAACCCAGCTACTGGGTTTTAATACATTACAAACACAGAGTCACCTACACAAATGTAACAAGAGACATACAAAATCATCTCATACCCAAGCAGACATGTACAGCTTAAACATTAGCACAGTGCCATGAACAAACAAATGCAGTCTCACACAGCATTATACAAAGTACGCAAAAACAGCCTGAAACACACAAACTGCTTCTTAGTAAGTGAAACAAACAACGCCTTTGACACAAAAAAAACAAAGGGCATCACAATCAAGCAACATGACAAGTTCAGTTTGACACACACACAATCAGCATGACAAACAACTCCACAAACAGCCTGAAACAAGAATGCATCCACAAATTAAAACAGCTAACACACAGATATAGTGACAGATCATGAGCACAAACTGTGTCACACATAAAAAAACACACTGTGAGGCATATACACACATAACACACACAGTCAGGAACACACTTTCACAACAACTAACAACCACACACAGACACAACTTGGCATGTAATCGCTCACTGCATTCAAATTAAAGATAAACTCTTTCATGTTGCACTGCAGGTAGGAGACCTGGAAAGTGCACATATGGCTATGACGAACAAAGTTATCACCCTCTGCATACATGGCAGCAGAGAAACCCATCTATGCTATTTTATCTATTGGAGGTGAAATTTAAAAAAGTTTATTTTTGTGGCAATACATTCCTTAATCTGTTCCGAATTTTCCTCTTTGCTTCTTTTACAACAGTTTCATCCTGCACCTCTTTTTTTGTCATTTTAAATAGTGGTGCATTCAATCTATAAAAAGAAGTGCAAGAGTTACATAGTTACATAGTACTGGGCAATAAAATGGCAGATGACATTTAATATAAAAAAATGTTGCACTTCGGGATAAAGAATGCACAAGAAACTTACACCCTAAATCAGGGGTTCTCAACCCAGTCCTCAGGACCCCTTACCAGTCCAGGATTTGGGGATTACCTGGGTGTGTCTCAGGTGTTTAGAAAAAAAAACACCTTAGAGTCTAAGGTGTTTTTTTCCCTTTTTCTAAACACCTGAGACACACCCAGGTAATCCCCAAATCCTGGACTGGTAGGGGATCCTGAGGACTGGGTTCAGAACCCATGCCCTAAATGGTAGTGACTTAGGGATAACCACACACGAGAAGGATTTGGAAATTGTTATAGACAATAAATTAGGCAGCAATATGCAATGTCAATCTGCAGTTGCTAAGGCCAGTAAGGTTTTGTCATGTATAAATAGGGGCATAAATTCTCGGGATGAAAATATAATTTAGCTTCTATCTAAATCAGTGGTAAGACCACACCTTGAATATTCTGTGCAATATGGGCACCTATTCTAAAGAAGGATATCATGGCACTAGAAAAAGTCCAGAGACGAGCTACAAAATTGTTTAAAGGAATGGAGCGTTTTAGCTATGAAGAAAGGTTAAAACATTTAAATGTCTTTAGTTTGGAAAAACAGAGCCTCAGAGGGATATGATAACATTATACAAATATTTTTGGAGCCAGTACAAACTATTATCTGGAAATCTATTCATAAACAGGGCTATACATAGGACACAACGTCACACATTTAGGCTGGAAGAAAGGAGATTTAGTCTAAGGCAAAGGAAAGGTTTTTTTACAGTAAGAACTAAAAGGATGTGGTATTATCTGCTTGAAGAGGTAGTTTTATCTGAGTCCATACAGATGTTTAAACAGAAATTGGACAAATACTTGCAAAACATAACACACAGGGATATAATTTCTAATTAGTGGGGTAATAGCTGCTTGATTCAAGGATTTATCTAACTGCCATTTTGGGGTCAAGAAGGAATGTTTTCCTAATTTGTTGCAAAATTGGAAGTGCTTCAGACTGGGTTTTTGGCCTTCTTGTGGATTAACAGCAAAATAATTTGTGAGGAAGACTGAACCAGATGGACAGATGGAGTCTCTATTCAGCTATGTAACTATGTAACTATGTAATAGGTGCAAGAGTGTGCCTCTTTTTCCAACAAATGTTCCCAGAACAAACCAGAACAAATGAGCAGTTTTGAAAGTCTTTTTGTTTTTGTTGCTTAAGAAATATAATTGCTTCAAATTGCAATGTTCCTTTTTTATAGTAATAATACTCATTTGACTGATTTTGTGAATGTAATCAATGGTAAAATCACAAAGATAAAATTAATCCAAGATGTATCATTTTGGCAAATTACAAAAATGTGTTAAAAAAACAGTTACTAATGCATAAATGGTGTAGCAATAGTTTTGTACATAAGAATTTAGCAAAAACCAGACACAAAACGTAATGTGTAATTTTTAAATTAACCAACCCTGGGATCTGAAAGGCTTAAAAACAGAAAGGTGAGCTTTTTGTTCATTTTTATTGTTCAACAGCTCTTTAGAGCCACCTAGAGATGCAAGAAGTATATGCATGCTGATTAAACATATGCCGTAACCAGTACAAATTACAACAAAATCAAATTTGTTGCAGATTATACAAAGTTATATAGAGACTAAAGAGAATGTATCTCTCTTAAGCTAAAAAAATAATCAAGGCTGGCAGTAAGGACAGACAATATATGAACTAACACTGCACATGTGTGAATGTTACCTTATCTGAGTTCCCTGCAGTCTGCAAAATTCTAGACTTTACACCACTGCTGGGGAGGGGGACCTTGCTGGCCAAATATTATATATAGGTTGATTTTTCCTAGATTCCCACAAGGTTTACTTTGACTCTTCTATGACTTGTCTCTAGAATACAATAAGTTAGTAATGGATACACCAGCTTACATAGTGTGCTATACTAAAATAAGGAAATTGTATTTAATAAGTGGGCCAAAGTGAACATTATTATTATTATTATTATTATTATGATATTTATATAGCACCATCAAATTCCGCAGCGCTTTACAATGGGTGGACGAACAGAAATGTAGTTGTAACCAGACAAGTTGCATGTGCCAGGAGCACACATATTCTAAACTCCATACTAGGATTGTCTCTAAAACAAGTCGTTGAGGAGCCAACTCGTAAAAATACTAGATTTAGTGTTAAAAAATGGAGATTTAGTATCAGATTTTACTGTAGGTGAAAGTTTAGGATCCAGTGATCATCAGTCAGTGTGGTTTAATATAAGAACAGTAACCGTGTCACACCACACAAAAACAAAAGTTTTAGACTTTAGAAAAACTGACTTTTAAAAAAAAATTAGAATATGTGTAAATGAGTCTTTATCAGACTGGAGCAATTTAAATAGAGTCCAAGAGACTCCAGCTAGGGTTAACCCATTTTTTTTTATAAACATAGCAGTTTCAGAGAAACTGCTATGTTTATGAATGGGTTAAGCCTTCCCCCAAAGCCTCTAGTGGCTGTCTCATTGACAGCCGCTAGAGGCGCTTGCGTGATTCTCACTGTGAAAATCACAGTGAGAGCACGCAAGCGGATATAGGAAAGCATTGTAAATGCTTTCCTATGCGACCGGCTGAATGCGCACGCAGCTCTTGCCGCGCGTGCACATTCAGCCGATGGGGAGGAGAGGAGGAGGATCAGAGGAGGAGAGCTCCCCACCCAGCGCTGGAAAAAGGTAAGTTTTACCCCTTTTCCCCTTTCCAGAGCGGGACGGGAGGGGGTCCCTGAGGGTGGGGGCACCCTCAGGGCACTATAGTGCCAGGAAAACAAGTATGTTTTCCTGGCACTATAGTGGTCCTTTAACAGAGGAAGAGGTCCTATTTCAACTGTAAAAAGTAAAGACAAATAAGTCAATGGGACCTGATGGAATGCACCCAAAGTTATTAAAAGAGCTTAGTGGTGTACTAGCAAAATCATTAGCAGATTTATTTAACCAATCATTGTTAACAGGAGTAGTCCCAGAAGATTGGAAGTTAGCGAATGTTGTGCCCATTCACAAGAAAGGTAGTAGGGAGGAGTCAGGCAACTCTAGGCCAATAAGCCTTACTTCAGTAGTGGGGAAATTAATGAAAACCATGTTAAAGGATAGGATTGTTGAAAATCTAAAATCACACGGATTTCAAGATCAAAGACAACATGGTTTTACTTCAGGGAGATCATGCCAAACTAATCTTATTGTTTTTTTTGATTGGCTAACTAAAATAATAAATCAGGGTGGCTTTTGACACTGTTGCACATAGAAGTTTGGATTCCAATACTATTGAATGGGTTAGGCAGTGGCTGAGTGACAGGCAACAGAGGGTTGTAGTCAATGGAGTATATTCAAAGCATGGGCTTGTCACCAGTGGGGTACCTTAGGGATCTGTACTTGGACCCATTCTATTTAAATTTTTTATAAATGATTTAGCAGGAGGTCTTGATGGTAAGCTATAACTTTTTGATGATGTTTCTATGATATATAACAGGATTGATGTTCCAGGAGGGATAAACCAAATGGTAAATGATTTAGGTAAACTAGAAAAATGGTCAGAGTTGCGGCATCTGATATTTAATGTGGATAAGTGCAAGATAATGCATCTTGGATGTAAAAACTAAAAGGGCAGAGTACAGAATATTTGATAGAGTCCTAACCTCAACATATGAGGAAAGGGATTTAGGGGTAATTATTTCTGATGAATAAAGGTAGGCAGACAATGTAATAGAGCAGCAAGGAATGCTAGCAGTATACAAGAAAATGCAAAAATATAACTATATCACCATTAACTGGATAGTATATACAGATAAAGAGTGTACTTATCTTAATATTAAAATGGAACAGCCTCCCAGGTCATTACCCAGAATAAATTACCTTTACACAACAAAATATAGAACAACCAGAAATATTCGGGATACGGCTGAGAAATCTAAAATTAAAAAACATACATATACATAGTGTAAATCAGTTTCAAATAATGAATTAATATTCGTGAAATGCACTCACAAGATTAGACGAGAAATAGCGCTCTAGGGTGCCTCCCCTGTTAGTAGTCGGGAGCTATTCTCTTCCTCCAGTTGCTCCCGATAGGTGAATGGAAAGCAAGATTCACAGGATGGTGGAAAAAATGGCTCTATTAAGGGTGAATATTCACCCAGCAATAAAAGAAAATATAAACTTAAAATGAGGTCCTACACATTTCGTTCACAGTACGGAACTTCCTCAGGGACCAAAATTAAAACCAAATATTAAACAGCAATGACAAAGTATAAAATACAGCCTAATCCCACCCTCCCATCAGTCCTGTTATATAGGGCTAACCCATAAGTTAATTAGTGGCATCCTGGGTGTCCTCCTGGATTCCTTTCGTCATTGGTGTGGTAATTGCTCACATCCAGCTGTCTTTTTCTGATTGTAGTTGCAGTCAAAAATTCCCGCGTCCAGTATCAGCCGAAAAACGGAACCGGAAGTGAACACACACTTCCGTGTTCCATTCAATCGTGCGTTCCAGCAAGTGAAATCAAGATGTCTATTGACAGAGCCCTCTGGTGGTCGCCAGGGGTACAATCCCAAGTAGTGAATGTTGAAAGAAATCGTGTATCTATTGAGACAAAACACAATAGTCTCGGCAGCAACATGGTGGAATATAATTATATGGCATAAATTATTCTCTTTTATCACTTTTAAATCCCTAGTAAGCACTTAATTCAAAGTGAATAATTTAAAAATAATAGAAAATCAAAACATATACATTATATATCATAAAATTTTTATTTTATTTATTTTTTTAAATTAATTAAATAGAAAAACACACATATCTACCACAGACAATCTCTCAGTATGTCAGGTTTTTGTTAATCCAAATCAAATACCCTTAGCAGGATAAAAAGATGGATGTAAATCTGTAATTTTATTACGAATATATGATGAATGGTAAGGAAGTGTCTCTACAAAAAGTAGGGAAGAAAGAAAGGGTAAACAAGACCAGATATCGTTATGATAAGACATAAAGCAAACAGACAGACCAAAAAAACATGATATGATTTATAAAAAACAGACTAAATGAATATCTACATTTAGTCCCATGGGTTCTAATGTTTTTAGTTGATGAATCCAAAAAGTTTCCCTTTGGGATAGATTCTTAATCCTATCGCCACCACACCAATGGGGGGCAACTCTTTCGATACCCATACATCTGAAATCTTTCCATGAAAAGGAAGGGCATGTACTGCAATGTGCAGAAACTGAGTGAGTAATTAACCCCTTCCTAATGTTGTTCAGATGTTCAAGTATTCAAACCTTAAAAGCTCTTACAGTACGGCCCACATACTGTTTGCCACACGGACACTGCAGTAGATAAACCTATATCTGATTTAATATGATATACCTCGCCAGTAGTAAAACTAGAAAAGGTATTCGATCTCTCAATAGTCACAGTCCTACAAGCTTTGCTAAGGATTTAGCTTGTTTAACTACCATTTTGTTTATTTTAACACCTTTCATTATTTTCTTGTCTATTTGTGGATCTATAATCGCATTGAAGTCTCCAGCTAGTATTACATTTCCTACTTTTATTTCTTTTTTTTTTTCTAGAATAGATCTTAAATAGGAAGCTGGTGAGTAATTTGGGAGGTAGACATTACAGAGTGTAAATAAATTGGAATTAATTTTACATACTATTGCCAAAAATCTGCCATCTGCATCTTGTAATTGTTGAATTATTTCTACCTCTATTTTTTCGCCAAATATTATAGCTACTCCACATTTTTTTTTATCTTTATTTGAGGCTTGTATAATAAGCAGGAATTTTTTTCCACCCAAAGTCTGTTTGTCCGATTGCCTCCAATGGGTTTCTTGTAGAAATCCCAAGTCTATATGTTCTGCGGCTAAATATTTATATACTAAAGACCTCTTTATTGTTGTGTTCATACCTTGGACATTAAGAGTTAACATTCTTATCATTGTAGATTCCAAAACCCCTTTCCCTCCATCTCGACACTATGATCTCCCCTATTCTTCTCTATTGCTGCACATACATACATATAACAAAAAAACACATATCTAAAATCGTAGGAGGATAACATCCTCCTTAAGCACAAAGACTGTTAACTCACCAGCTGGGGAGTCAGTTTAATCCTGTGTCTAAATGTTAGACACTAAGTAGGTCTGTCCGGATTAAGGTGATGCTACATAATAATACCCCTTAATTTATTTTATTGCAAAAAAAAAAATTCTAATCCTGGCATTCAAAATATAAGAAGCAACTTTATCATTGTTATCTTGTCCGACGTCTCTCTATATTGTTATTTACCGGTTATTATTATCATAGCATTTATACAAATATTTCTTTACAATCATCTTAGTGCAAACCTTAAATAAAAAAAAAATAAAAAAAAAACATAAACTAAACATATATAAATAAATTTACAATATGTATAACAGCTTTCTAGCCACATCAGATTATTTTATATGTATATTGTTAGTATATTACATTAATCGTGAGTTTAGACAAATTCCAGCATTGATCATAAGTGCACACCTTAATAAATTTAATATGAAAAAAATAGGAGAAAATAAGTTTTTGTTTAATTTTTTTAGTTCTACATGACATTTTAACTGTCAATGTCATAATACTGCTTGCTTTTACTGCAATAAAATACACATATTTGTATTCAACAAAGTCTCACGTGTAAGACTGTACCCCCTATGTACAGGTTTTATGGCATTTTGGGAAGTTACAGGGTCAAATATAGCATGTTACATTTGAAATTGAAATTGGCCAGATTGGTTACGTTGCCTTTGAGACTGTATAGTAGCCCAGGAATGCAATTTACATCCATAATGGCATACCATTTGCAATAGTAGACAACCCAAGGTATTGCAAATGGGGTATGTCCAGTCTTTTTTAGTAACCATTTGGTCACAAACACTGGCCAAAGTTAGCGTTAGTATTTGTTTGTGTGTGAAAAATGCAAAAAACGCCAATTTTGGCCAGTGTTTGTGACTAAGTGGCTACTAAAAAAGACTGGACATACCCTGTTTGCAATACCTTGGGTTGTCTTCTTTTGCAAATGGTATGCCATCATAGGGGTAATTTTCATTCTTGGGCTACCATAGGGTCTCAAAGGCAACCTAACCAATCTGGCGAATTTTAATGTGAAAAAAATGAAACACAAGCCTTATATTTGATGCTGTAACTTTTGGAAACACCATAAAACCTGTACATGAGGGGTACTGTTGTACTCGGGAGACTTCGCTGAACACAAATATTTGTGTTTCAAAACAGTAAAAAGTATCGCAGCAATAATATCGTCCGTGTAAGTGCTGTTTGTGCGTGAAAAATGCAAAAGAGTCACTTTTACTGGCAATATCATCATTGTAATACATTTTACTGTTTTGAAACACTAATATTTGTGTTCAGCGAAGTCTCCCGAGTAGAACAGTACCCCCCATGTACAGGTTTTATGGTGTCTTGGAAAGTTATAGGGTTAAATATAGTGCTAACAAATTAAATTCCCTTTACTTTCGGCATGGGTTGTCAGGCAGGTCCCGCTAATTGTAATTAATTAAGATACCTAATTATGTAAAAATATTACATAAATATATATGTAGAATTAATATATGTATATATATACGTATGTGTATATATATATGTATATATCTATATAATTTTTTTTAAATATTTTTATTTATATATAGGTATATATATAGTGATATATATGTATATATTTATGTATATAGATATATATATTATTTCGTTCTACGTGTATTTTGATATATATATATATATATATATATATTAATTTCACAATACAGTTAGAACGAAATAACACACATCTATATATTTTTTAATTATTTATTTTTAATTATTTTTTAAATTTTATTTTTTAACGTATTTACATATTTAATTTTTTTACATTATATATAAATATATATATAACAATAATAATATATATATTTAATCAGTATCAGTCTACGTGTAATTTGATATTAATATATATATTTAAATATATATATATATTAATAGTAAAATACACCTAGACAGTGTATGTGTGTGTATGTATATGTGTATATATATATACTTAGATCATATATATAATATATATATATGATCTAAGTATATATATATTTTTTTTACACTTTATTAATTTATTTTTAATTTATTTCCAGCCAGCAGGAGGACTACCTGTCATTACAGGCAGCCCTCCTACTGGCAATGCTGCAGCCAGCTATCCCGGCCATGTGATTGTGAGGTCCTCGCAAGGACCTCACTCTCACATGGCCGGGGGGGGGGCTGAGGAGGCAGGATCCGCCATGGGGGGCTCCCTGGGAGTCCCCCCAACCGCGATCACCAGTGTGGGATCGCCGGTGACCGGGTAAGTAGGAAAAAACCGGAGGGCGTACTATTACGCCCGGCGGCGTTTAGAGCTGCCTAAAATAGGACGTAATAGTACGCCCTCCGATCTTAAGGGATTAACCCATCTCATTATTTTTGTGTATAGTATTTGTAAATCATAAACTTCCAAACAATTCTTCTACCATTCACATAAGTGAAAAAAAAAAATTATGATCCAACATATATGCAAAATGCTGTATTCTTATCGTTATTAACTTAATGCAGATTTTTTTATTTTCCTTTTTTTTTTCTTTTTTTACTTATGCTAACCATTTACAGGATTCAACCAATATTTTTTTTTCTTTTTTCCCTCTTCTTTTCCTTCCCTCTCCTTTCCCTCTTTTTCCTTCTTTTTCTTAAAAAAAAAAAAAAAAATTAGTTTCTTCTATATCAACGATTTTGTTGTTTTTATATTTGAATTCTTGCTACTCTTTGCTTCATCTGCATCGGTAAAAGAAAGTCTTTCTTGTCTCCAAATAAATTTTAAAGAAGCCGGGATGCTCCATTGAAATCTAATATAATTTTTTTCTTAGAAAATCTGTTAGTATTGAAAAAGATTTTCTCCAGGTTCTAGTAAAGTAAGATAAGTCTTGCAAAAAATATATATCTTTATAAACAGAATTTGTTAGGGGTTTTGTGCGTCTGGCCTTGCTCAAATTGTTTTTAGCTGAGAGTGAGCAGAAACTCACTATCACGTCTCTTGGAAGATGAGCTGCGATTATATTAGGTTTTCGAATCCGGTGAAACTTTTCTATTTGATAATCAATTGTCTAAGGAAGAACTTCTTTAAATAAGCTGCATAAATAATCTTTTAATTTCTCCGTTGTTATATCTTCAGATATACCTCTGAGTCTTATATTAAATTTTCTTGATCTATCTTCTAAGAATGCTATTTTTTGTTCCAGAGTTGAAGTTTTATCTATTAAGAGCTGCATTGTTTCCTTAACTGTGCCTAATTGTTTGTCAAACGTTACAAGTTTTTTTCCAGAGCTTGCACTGATATTGCAATTCTTTTTGTATCTTGTTTAATATCTTCAAGACTCATAAGCATATCTTGTTTTAATGTGTTAAATTGTGACTCTAATATTAATTTGAGCTGATCTTGTAGGCTGTCTTTCGTTGTTTCAAGAACTAGTGATTGCCCTTGAACCGCTGAGAAATCTACATTGGTTTTGGAAGTATTCACCGGGTTTATCTCACATTCACTTTTCCGTTCTTGTATGTCTTTAGAGGGGGTCGAAAAAAACAGACATCCTCTTTTCTATTAGCTGTCCTGGCTTATTTTCCTTCTTTTTCTCCATGGTAGTTTTTCTAGTTGCCATTTTGCTATTCACACAAGAGTTCTTTCAGTATTGCCTTCAGGATTTTTGTTTCAACTAGACTGAATTTTGCATATATAGTAAATTTCTTCTCCTTTTTTTTCTCTTCCTTTTCCCTTTTCTATTTTTTTTCTCTCTTTTCTTTTTCCTTATTTTAGTGACAGCTTCTTAGTTTTTCCAACTTGTGGCAGCTTATGATATCAATGTATTTGTTGTAGCATATCAATTTTTGATGTTTATTTTTCTGCCTTTATTTATGTTGGTTATAAAGTCTTGATTAACTTGATTAGGCTTATATTCTTTCAGCCTCAGCTTATTGCTCTCATTTAATAAAAATATACTCTGGAAGTTTTAATAATTGTGACTCTCAGTTGTAGTTAAATGATATATATGCCTTAATTTAAGCAGCGTATCAATATAATTAGAGGTACTCACGGTACTTCAACTTCTTCCCCAGTATTTTATAATTATCAGAAGTCATCCATTTGTTTTGCACTTCCGACTCGGCAACAGCCCAAAAAAGGAGATCAAGTCCGGTATCACTCTTTTATCGTTAATTCTCATTTCCACGCCAAAATTTGTTTGATCAAATACAGCCCGATACTTTTAGCGTGGTCGGCTTGTTTTCGCGCACTTCTGCCACAACAGCGTTCCTCCAAACCGCCGAATATGCTCAGCGTGGTTACTTCACTTCCACGCACTTCTGCCTGATCACCATTCCTCCGGACACACCCAACTCCTGCACGTGTTGCGTCTCATGTCATCACGTCCACACCTCCCCTGAACACATGTTAATCAGTAGAGAATGGTATGTGGAAATTCTGCCCCAAAAAATAAAATAATCACAAAAAGGGAAGTTTTACTCTATATTTTGAACTTTAATATTTATATTAATTGTGACTTTAGCACTCAACATGGCTGTTTTATTAATCAACAAAGGTATTCAATACAGCTTTAATCATGAAAGTCTAATAGATTCAGAGAAGGCTTGTTCTGGATCATGCTGACCTCATCGTTAGCCAGCCATTCCATAGCGCTCGCACAACTTTGTAGGATCCTCCTTTTGTAGTACTTCCACGGTGCAAGCATGCTTATCATACTTGACAAAGCATTTGCTCTGGTCATAGTTGGCAGGTCTACCATAACTGGAACATAATAGGAATAGAATAATTCGAAAGTGAGATATATTCAAACTACTTTTTTTAATTGTGTGTCATGAACCCACTAACCTACATTTTCTATTATTACTTATCTCTATCATATTTATCACTCTTTCACATATGTATCTATACATAGCGACTGTTAGCTGGCTTATATTTGCCCCTATTGAAATTTAAACCCCAAATTAAACATTACTTAAAATTAAAAAAAGCAAAATGCATGCATGAATCCAGTACTCATGTGGCCTTTTGCAATGGTGTATTCAATATCTAGAAGCATATTCACAAACGTATTATTTTTATAAATATTTCCTGACACAACAATAGAAATGAAACAGTAATGATTGCTCTAACATGATGTGTCTACTACGGACACAGCAGAAACTTAAAAACAAGCAAACTTTCATAAATAAAACAGAGGGTGTTGGGGGCCCTGTTCAAACAAGGTTACATTCTAGAGGGAGTGGGGTAAAGTGACTCAAGAGGTAAGAGTAGGGTGTTTTTAATTTACAGGAAAAGTAGATTGCTAGAATAGTTTAGAATGTGTAGTTTTTAAATGACATAGTTGCAGAGAAGGAAACAAGATGGGTTACCAAAGTGCAGGGAGGGAAAGCTTTTAACATATTTACAGTCACAGGGTGGAAATCGTATATTACTCAAGAAGGTGGAATTACACAGATAATTGGAATTTTGATTGCATGTTTTATTGTGTTGGAGCAGCACAGTTGGGAAAGATTCAGGTAAAAGGTTATCATTGTAAAAGATACTAGTTAGAATGTGTCAACTTGGATATTCACATGACCTGAACTACAACATTTACTCTGCAGCTGTGCAATAATAAATAATTCCATGCTTGAACAAAACAGAGCCAATGGGGTGGAGCAATGATCTTGGATACAAGCTACGGGATGCGCCTACACTCACGTTGAGGGTGTGGAGACCTAGGAGGTGTATGGCGGCTAGATGCCATTGTCCACTTGAATTCTGGCGTGCAAACGTTAAGCCTTATGTCCCCAGACCTACCTCATGGAGTCCTTGAACAGTAAAGTTGAAAGTAGCCTGGCTGGGGCCTGGAGGCTTTATTACTGAGCCAGTACAGTAGTACAGAAAATTGTTATAATATGGAGAGAGCCAAGCCACTCTGGGTGAGAAAGAACTGTAAGCAAGCTGCAATAAGATTTGGGTGAGCTGATTCAACATTGTAGTAGTATGTGAAACCCATTATAATTTCAACAGTATTATACAGTTGTGCTCAAAAGTTTGCATACCCTGACAGAAATTGTGAAATTTTGGCATTGATTTTGAAAATATAACTGATTATGCATAAAACATTATTTTATTCAAGGATAGTGATCATATGAAGCCGTTTATTATCACATAGTTGTTTGGGTGAGTTCTATTATCATTATGATTTTAAATAGGAGCCAAATGGGCCCAATCAAAAGTTTACATACACTTGGATGTTTGGCATTGTTACAGACATATAAGATGACACACAGGTTAAAATGGCAATTAAAGGTTAATTTCCGACACCTGTGTATTTTTAAATGGCAATTCGTTTCTGTGTATTAATAGTCAATAAGTTGGATAGCTTTCACGTGGATGCACTGAGCAGGCTAGATACTGAGCCATGGGTAGCAGAAAAGAACTGTCAAAAGACCTGCGTAACAAGTTAATGGAACTTTATAAAGATGGAAAAAGATACAAAAAGATATCAAAATCCTTGAAAATACCAGTTACTACTGTTAAATCACTTAGTAAGAAGTGGAAGATTTGGGGATCTCTTGATACCAAGCCAAGGTCAAGGGTAGACTGAGAAAGATTTCAGCCACAACTGCCAGAAGAATTGTTTGGGATACAAAAAAAAACAAAACACAGGTATCCTCAGGGGAAATGCAGGCTGCTCTGGAGAAAGACAGTGTGGTTGTTGAGACATTTTGTCAAGAAGAATGGGCAGCTATACTGCCTTAGACATGTGCAATTCATTTTGTTCTGTATGTACATTAGTGTGGATTCCATGCCAAAGTTCTGAAGTGACGAAGTTCGGTAGTTCGGAGGTGCCGAAGCTCCAAAGTGATTTGGATTTCTGAAAATTGGCATTTTACACTATTTAGGGGGGAAAAAGCATTTTGTGACAGTAGGTTTACTGTTGGGGGGACAAAAGGATATGCATTGTTTTACCTATTCAATTCCTTTAAGGTATCGGAATAACCTTGTCTTCTGATCTATTGATTTAAAGCAACTTTGCACTGTGCAAGGAGTATTGCCTGTATTGATTCACATTTTGTATTAAATTAAAGACTTTGGTGAAAGTAACCTCTCCACTTGTACTATGGGCCCTGCATGGAAAAATGTAAAAGACTACCGAACATGACCTACTGTTAGCATTGATTTCCCTGGAACTGTTTTGGGCATAGGACCATGTGCACGGTCGGTCAAAACTATGAATTCCAGGAGAATTCCTGAACCCCTGAACCGATCTGGGTGATTTTTGGATATGTTGTTCACCCCTTGTTATTTTTTGTGGTTTTAAAGTACTTTTTGGGGTTTCATAAAATTTTATGTTTTTCTGTGTTTGGAGATAATTGGGTTAAATTAGTACAGTTCCTGATTCAATTATTTCCCAAGCACAGAGGAGGATTCTATTGTTTGTGTATGGGAGTGTCTGACTGTATGACTCTGTTTTTATTGGTTTATTCACTTAGTGTCCCGGTGCCCAACAAGGTCCACCTGGGTGTCACCCTTGTTGGGAAACTTGCATAAAAGGCCAGTGTGCCTCCATTAAAATTCTGTTCCTGCTTACCCTCAACATAGTCTCATCTCATGAGTGGGGGAAACGGCTGTATCTATCCTGGAGATTGATATATCACTATACTCCCCAGGAATTATAATCACTAGCTCTTATAAGAGCTGTTCCTGCTATGGTTTCTGGGAGTAGGAGAGATCTGCCCTCTGGAAGCTGGATCCCGGTCTTGGGTCCAGGGTGGGTGAAGGACGGCAAGACCCCGGCACAGCTGCATCACTGGAAGTGGGGTCTGCAGTGTTTATGGTGTCTGGTGGAGTGCTGAAATTTCTCAGTGAGCACTAGGAGCATCAATTGGTGGAGGCACTCGGTCGGAGTGCCAGGCAGTCCGTCACAAAGACGGAAATTTTTTATCTTGTCCATGTTAGGGGATCTGCTTCACACCATTTGAGAATTCGGATACATATTTTTTATTTTGGGGACTGATGTTTAGTTTTATTGGTGTATCAAGTCCATTGATACTTTTACATGGTGCTAAAAATGATCCATAACAGTTTGTGCTCTTTATACTGCATTTATTATAGATATTTATGCGTCATTTTACAGATCTTTTTTATTTATTTTTTATTGTCAATAAAGTGTTAATTCTTTTGTTGTCCACTTTGTTGTGATATTTGCAATTTCCCTTTTGTTTTGTTATTGTTTTTTTCCCTCTCTTTATTTCGCTAAACCGTGTCTGTGGTTTTTATTGTGATAGTATTGGGAAAGGTTTTTTGGTGATCAGTTTTTCAGAGTATTGTTCAGTAGATGATTCCTCTAGTGGTTCATTTATTTAGAGAAGATTTTTTTTGATTCTAGAGATTTTACATTACCGTGATATTCAGCCATAATTCCCCAGAAGGAATGCGATTGTGCAAAAGGTGTTCTTTTTTGGGGTTCCTGGGTAAGAATTCCTACTTTGCTGCAAACATTAGCTCTGACATTATTACACAGCTCACATCAGGTTATAGTATATGACACTTACATTACAATCATACATCCCAATCCAAGTGACATACAACCCTTAAATCCTCACATTCAGCCATGATGTATGCTCTTTACAATAGCATGAAGGAGCAAACAAGAAATTTGTGTAGTCCCTCAGTGGATATCCCACATGTGTAAACACTCTGGTCTAACTAAATCATAAGGAATTATTGCAACTTACACTTTGCAGCAGGACATCTCCTCAGTATCACAACTGCAGTCAAAGCAATTTTTCGTCTTCCACCGAGTATTAAATTCATGGAGCACGCCATTTTTATCCAAACAACCTTCAAAACAGAATTAATTTTAGCAATACTTTTAACACTTATATAGAGAAACTGGAGAAAAGATGAGTACATTCAGAAAAGAGTAAAAAGATATCAGAGTTCAGGTACTCAGGTGAAGGAAAGAACTGAGAAAATAGCAGGGACATACTGAGGTTAACTACCAAATGAAAAAAGTGAAGTGTGAAAGAGAAGGATAAAATGACTTGGTAACAGTAATAAAAGGGCAGATTAGAGGGATAAGGAGAGGAAGGAAAACAGGCATATGATAACAGGAAGACCAAAAGATTATGAAATTAGGGAGTGCCCTCACTAAGAGACCAAAGCTAGCCATTAGGCTAGTCGACAAGGGAGATCAGAGCATGTAGTGTTGGCACTATGCTATCTATCTCTCCATCTCACCCAACCACAAGCACAATACAGACCCTATACCACACTGCTCATGCACACACTATATTCCTGACATATACACTTCATCCTCTATACACAATCTGGATCCACCATTGCACACACTAGATTCCCTGTATGCAAACACACACACCACTGTAGCGGAGATGCAATATTACCCAGGTTATCTCCGCTTATAATCCAAGTGAGGCTCAGGAACAAGTAAATAGTAAATCCACAGGCAAGGTTTCCAGCAGGTAAAATAACAGCAATATCCCAACAGCAATCCCAATAACTGGACGACACACAGTTTCAGGAGCAGAACTGAAAGCTTTAATCCACAGTCTCCTTATTGTCAGGGTCTTACCTGAGTTGGGAGTCTGTAGCGCAGATATGATGCTCACCCTTGCAGATAGCCACAGGCCGAGGTGGTCAGGTAAGAATTCACCTGGCCTGTGGGTCTGTGCACGGGGGCTGTGCAGGATGCAGTACCAATACGCAGGACAGGCAAGGACTGAACCAGCAGGATGGTCGAGGGATAGCCGAGGTCAAAGGATGCCAGAGGACAGGAACAGCGAGGAGTAGCCGAAGTCAAGGGATGCCAGAAGTCAGAATAAACGAGTCAGGAAGCCGGGGTCAATAATGCGAAGCGATGAAACAGGAACACTGGAACAAACAGGATCAAGGACTTGACACTGAGCACAGGGCGAGGCTGGGTTATATACCCTGCTGATGACTGATCAGAGTCAGGTGAAACACAGCCAAGTCAAGGTGCAGCCCCCAGAGTAGTAGCCATGTCAGGATGAACAGGACTGGAATCAGTCTTCACTGTAAATAGCTGCTGTGGCTCAGAGGTAGAAAACAGGACCAGGACTGAGAAGATCCCCGGTTCAAGTCCCCTGTTGGGAACTCCAAGAGCGACCACGTCTTGCCGTCTGTCTATCAGGTGAGAACCGTGACAGTACCCCCCCCTTTAAAAACGACCTCCGGGTGTGAATGGGTTCATTGTCAGCATAGTACACCTCTCCAGGGTCACTATCTGAATCCAGTGAGTCCCCATAGTCAAACTCCCCAGCAAGGATTCCCTTTACAGCTTGGGAGTCCGCAGTACCAGCTTCTGGTACAGCTGGAGAATTGTCCAGGTCTTTTAGGTTCCGGGTACAGGTGGCAAGCACTTCCAAAACTTTGGCAGGAGCAGTGTTCGCAGCTAACAATGCTTTTTCGAACATTTCAAGGTTTTCTTTACGGACTATAGTGCCATTAGAAGCAACGGCACAATCCACAGGTAAAACCTCTTCGGGCGGGCAGGAAGTAGTGGTGGTATCACAGGAAGCAACTTCGGGAGTAGATGCAGGAGGCTCTGGAGCAGGGGATGGAGGTTTTCTCGCGGAAGCCAAGCATGTGCAAGCACAACGGCTTCTATTTGGCTTTTTAGGCTGGTATGTGGTGTACACAGGGCGAAGGAAACTAGTACCAAGTCGGAGAGCTGGAGGTCTAGGAGGGCGAACAGGACAAAGCGTGATGAAGTGCCCTTTTTCTCCACAGTAATAACATAGGCCATAGCTTCTCCTTCGGTCTTTTTCCTTAGGTGTCACCTTGCAGTGGACGAGTCCTAATTGCATAGGTTCCACAGGGTCAAGTGGAACACCGGATACCTCTGGAGTTTTCCTGGGAGCTGGAACATAAGGAGGCATTTCTGGGGCGTAGTGGTGGTACTCGGTTTCTAGGTTAGGAAGAGTCTGAGATTTTTTAGTACGCGGAGCTGACTTGGCCACAGTGGTCTTACATTGTGAGTCCATAGCAGTACTAAAGGATTCCCAGCTGACCAGGACAGGACTCTTCGTCTGCAACATTTGGTGAGCCCAAACTTTGATGCGTCCAGACAACAGGTTGATAGCCGCTCTGACCCTGATGAATTCTGTGGCATAAGTTCGAGGCTTTAAGGAAAACAACACCTCACAATCCATCTTGAAAGACTGAAAGGATGTGCGGCTACCATCAAATCGGTCGGGCATGATGACAAACGGTTCAGGAAAAGCTGGTTCCGGGGCTGGATGTACTGCGCCTTTAAGGAATAAAATTTCTTGCTGCAGCTCCGAAACAGTCTGGGCCAGGCTGGACACACGCTGGGTCGAGGGTGAGCACATCTCTGCGGACTCCATAATGGTCAAGTCCTTAAGTCAGGGTCTTACCTGAGTTGGGAGTCTGTAGCGCAGATATGATGCTCACCCTTGCAGATAGCCACAGGCCGAGGTGGTCAGGTAAGAATTCACCTGGCCTGTGGGTCTGTGCACGGGGGCTGTGCAGGATGCAATACCAATACGCAGGGCAGGCAAGGACTGAACCAGCAGGATGGTCGAGGGATAGCCGAGGTCAAAGGATGCCAGAGGACAGGAACAACGAGGAGTAGCCGAAGTCAAGGGATGCCAGAAGTCAGAATAAACGAGTCAGGAAGCCGGGGTCAATAATGCGAAGCGATGAAACAGGAACACTGGAACAAACAGGATCAAAGACTTGACCCTGAGCACAGGGCGAGGCTGGGTTTATATACCCTGCTGATGACTGATCAGAGTCAGGTGAAACACAGCCAAGTCAAGGTGCAGCCCCCAGAGTAGTAGCCATGTCAGGATGAACAGGACTGGAATCAGTCTTCACTGTAAATAGCTGCTGTGGCTCAGAGGTAGAAAGCAGGACCAGGACTGAGAAGATCCCTGGTTCAAGTCCCCTGTTGGGAACTCCAAGAGCGACCACGTCTTGCCGTCTGTCTATCAGGTGAGAACCGTGACATTTATAAAGCATGCTCCCATGCAAGGGAGGGATTTACAGTAATTATTACAGTAGCCAATCCTGTCCTGGTAACCTCCCACACATCTCCTCCCCTCAGCCAGCATCATAATCCCCTTATCCAGTACAGTAATTCCCCCCGTTTCTGGATGTACCCCTAAACGTAGGGGTACCTCTTTAAATCCTACATCCCCGGATACCCCTGATCTGGGTGAACAACATATCCAAAAATCACCCAGATCAGACCAGGGGTTCGGGAAATGTATGGAGGGAATAAAATGACCGACCGCACTAACTGAGATAGCCGAATAAGGTTCCATGCGAATGGGCCCTGCGGTCGGTCCTGGCATAAGGGAACAAAATACACGAAAGCCTCTAGCTATAGAGGCTAGGGAGGGTTCGCCTGAATCCCCTCGTTCGGTATTTTCTATCTACCGAACGAGGGGCCGTTCGGTAGTTTGGAACCGAACGGACCAGGTTTGTGGAGGTCTCAGCGGTGTTCGCCTACTCGAGTGTCCGATTTTAGTTCCAGACACTCAACGGCAAAACACCGCTGTTCGGGAGTTTTAAAATGGCCGCCGCTACGTGTTCGTTTGCTACTTACTATTCAATTACCCATTGGCAACAATGTTGCAACGGGTAATTGAGGACACACTTCACACAGGGGAGGTCTGGTTGTTCGGTAGTTTCATTCGAATAAACTAAGGGAATGACACTACCGAACAATCAGAGGAATACAATTCTTTTTAACACATATAAAACACAGCAGATACACGAATGCAGTTATGTACAGTATATTTGTAGGATCGCCTGGTGCCATCCGCTACAACCACATTCACTAAAACACACACTAAGTGATCTACAGTAGCTTGGGGGGGTCTTGGCCTTGGCCCCCCTACAACGTGCAGTGCTCCCTTTGTGCCCCCCCAATTGACGTTGAAGCTGGGAGCAGCACTGTAACTGTGGGCCAGAGGGGGCACTGTGCTGGGAGGACTTGCGCCTGGGTCACAGAGAGCAGCGCAGGGGAGAGACAGGGAGAGGAACAGAGGCATACAGGCAACTGCTGGTAAGTGTGAGTCAATTTGTGTGTTTCAGTCTGTGTGTGTGGTGGGGGGGAGTGGTGTCTGTGCGTGTGTGTGGTTCAGTCTCTGTATGTGGGGGGGGTCAATCTGAATGTGGGGGACTAAGTCTGTGTATGTATGGGTCAGTCTGCGTGGGGGAGCAGTCTGTGTGTATGTATGGGTCAGTCTGTGTGTGTGTGGGTCTGTGTGTGGGTTTGTATGGGTCAGTCTGTGGGTTTGTATGGGTCAGTCTGTGTAAGTGCTTGAGATCAAAGGGAGATACCTCTCATCTCGTGACTTCCCCTGTACCCGATGGATAGGCAGTCTTCTCAACCACCATGGATCTGTGTGTGTGGGGGGGATGTGTATGGGTCAGTCTGTGTGGGAGGTCAGTCTGTGTATGTATGGGTCAGTCTGTGTGTGTGGGGGGGGAGGTCAGTCTGTGTATGTATGGGTCAGTCTGTGTTGGGGAGCAGTCTGTGTGTGTTTGTATGGGTCAGTCTGTGTTGTGGGCAGCCTGTGTGTGTATGGGTCTGTGTGTGTGTGTGTGTGTGTGTGTATGGGATACCTCTCATCTCGTGACCTCTCCTGCACCCGATGGATAGGCAGCCTTCTCAACCACGATGGATCTAATTGTGCCACCCCCTCCCTGCAAGGTAAGATCAGGAAAAGGGGAATATTGTTTTTTAATTTAAGAAAAAGAAAAAATCTATTATTAAAGTAAAAATTGTAAAGCTTTTTCCCTATCCCACTCTCTACACCCCTCTGAACACAGTACACCCTCACAGACAGTGAACCCCCCGCATGCAGTACACTCCCACCAACACAGAGTACACCTTTGCATACACACACAGTGCACCCCTCACACACATCATCTCTTCACCCACACACACACTTCTTCCCCACAAACCTTTACCCCCACACACACATACAAACATACATGATTCACCCCATTAGGCACCGAATCTTGTATACGTATATATAATAACTACAGCTACTTGATAAGCACACATTGCAACCCCAATACACATACACTCACAATGCAGCCCCTAGATGCACAGGCACACACTTAACAGGCCCTTTCAACACACACAATCTCAAAAGCTCCTATACATGAGCATGTGCTCACACTACAGCCCATAGTTACATATAGTGCAGCATAAACAGACTCCTATATACAGACACTTCACCACAGCCCCTTCTAAACACCATGGGAAATTATCTTGCATCTCCTCAAAAGGTTTTCCAGTTTGTGTTCATTTTGTTCTGCTGTTTTTCGTGTGAGATTGAAAATACAGTGCAATACCAGTGCCGGTCAGTAGTATATAGAGAGAGACAGGGCTACAGCTTATCCCTGCTTCTCTCTCCTGACTGAATCCGCAGGGTAGCAGCACATGCAGTTAGCAACTCTCAGACTGCAGAGGCAGTCTACAGATCAGGGAAGTGTGGGATGGGGGGCAGCCTACAGATCAGGTATGTAAGGCATGGGGGGGAGAGATAGCCTATAGATCAGGGAAGTGAGGCATGGTGGGGGGCAGCCTACAGATCAGGTAAGTGAGGCATGGGGGGGAGATAGTCTATAGATCAGGGAAGTGAGGCATGGCGGTGGCAGCCTACAGATCAGGGAAGTGAGGCATGGCGGGGGGCAGCCTACAGATCAGGGAATTGAGGCATGGCGGGGTAGCCTACAGATCAGGGAAGTGAGGGAGGGGTGAGGGGGCAGCCTACAGATCAAGGAAGTGAGAGAGAGGGGAGGGGGCAGCCTGCAGATCAGGGAAGTGAGGGATGAGGGGAGGAAACAGCCTATAGATCAGGTAAGTGAGGGATGGGGGAGACAACCTACAGGAAGGATCAGCTAGGAGCAGGAAGGTAAAGTAAGAGAAGGAGCAGAAAGAAGAAGAAACAGAAATGAGAAGGGACAACAAGGAGCAGAAAGGGTCAGCAATGAGCTGGAAGGGGCAGAAGGAGCACAAACGTAAAGTAGGAGAAGGAGCAGAAATTATCAGGAAGAGTCAGCAATGAGCAGGAAGGGTCAGCAATGAGCAGGAAGGTCCCACAAGGAGCAGGAAGGGGCTGAAAGGAGCAGGAAGGGTCTGCATGGGGCAGCAATGAGTAGGAAGGTTCTGCAAAGAGAAGGAAGGGTTTGCAAAGAGCAGAAAGGGACAGAAGGAGCACAAAGGTAAAGGAGCAGAAAGAATTAGAAGGAGCACAAAGATAAAGTAGGAGAAGGAGCAGAAAAGGATAGCAAGGAGCAGGAAGAGACAGCAAGGAGCAAACGATAAAGCAGGAGAAGGAGCAGAAAGGGACCAGAAAGAGAAAGGAGCTGAAGGGCGCAAAATAAGCAGAAAGTAGCAGAAAGGTAAAGGAGCAGAAGGAGCCAAGGAGGAGAGAAGAGAAGACGGTGTCAGAAGAAAAAGAAGACTGTGTCAAATGAAGGAGTAGAAAAGGAGATTGGAGCAGTAAGGACAAGTGAAGTGAACCCTCCACTTTATTCTGGACACCACATCATAAGGCTTTGGTACCTGGGCCTGGCAGGGAAACTTTGAACCTTCTCATCTCCCCAGGTAAAAAAGAATATCAGTGTTAATGTGTTCACTTTTATTTACTGAGTGTCAGGAAGCACAGAGTGCTGCTGGGTAGGAGTGTCGCTGATTGGCTAGAGCAGTCAGCTGGCACTCTAAGCCAATCAGTAACTCCCCATTCTTAAAAAAGTTAAACATTTTTATGAACCGGGAACTAGCGTTTGGCTTAGAGCGTCAATTGGCCACTCTAGCCAATCTGCAGCACTCGTGCCTGACGTCAATCTGCACTTCCTGACACTCCATTTCAGAAGCTGAATACCACTGAGCGACCTGGAGATCTGGAGCTAGAGGAACCTTTAGGGTTAAACCATTTGAGAGCAGTTTAACCCCTTAAAGGGAAGAGGGCACCCAGGGGCTTCCTGGCATCATAGCATTTTCATTTAGATAAAGTTGTTGTGGTGACCAAAATGTTCCTTTAATTTGCTTAACCCCTTAAGGACACATGACATGTCATGATTCCCTTTTATTCCAGAAGTTTGGTCCTTAAGGGGTTAAAGGAACACTATAGTGTCAGGAATATAAACATGTATTCCTTACACCATAGTTGTGAAAATGCTATTCACCCTGGCTTTATGTGATAATGACTATGCCCCTTCCCTTTAAAGACATTGTCAAAAAGGGACCAGGCATGGATGTCATTACAATTATGCCTGTGCAATTAGGGCCACCTGATGGGCATGTGTTTTCAGGGGCCCAAAACTGCTTTGCACCAGCGCCCTCTCTACGTTGGTAGCAGCTTCCCCAGCACCCAATCTTCAAAACTTTTATATCTACCTAGCAATAGTGCCTTCTTCCTTACATTTGGTGTACTATCATACTCTCCAATCTTTGATTGTTTGATGCTAAAATGGATCAAATGATCAAAGACTCTTTTATGTCTAATGGGAAAGTGATTTCAATTTTAATATATTTATTTATTATTTTCTAAAACAATATAACATGAAAAAAAGAAATGTGAAATTCAACTATGGCCATTTACATATTAAGTGTAGCCAGTGTTATAAATGCAGCCAGGAACATTCCTTAAAGGACCACTCTAGGCACCCAGACCACTTCAGCTTAATGAAGTGGTCTGGGTGCCAGGTCCTTCTAGGGTTAACCCATTTTTTCATAATTATAGCAGTTTCAGAGAAACTGCTATAATTATGAATGGGTTAAGCCTTCCCCCTAATCCTCTAGTAGCTGTCTCATTGACAGCCACTAGAGGCGCTTGCGTGCTTCTCACTGTGATTTTCACAGTGAGAGCACGCAAGCGTCCATAGGAAAGCATTGTAAATGCTTTTCTATGCGACGGGCTGAATGCGCGCGCAGCTCTTGCCGCGCGTGCGCATTCAGCCCAGGAGGAGGAACGGAGGAGGAGAGAAGGAGGAGAGCTCCCCGCCCAGCGCTGGAAAAAGGTACGTTTTTACCCCTTTTCCCCTTCCAGAGCCGGGCGGGAGGGGGTCCCTGAGGGTGGGGGCACCCTCAGGGCACTATAGTGCCAGGAAAACGAGTATGTTTTCCTGGCACTATAGTGGTCCTTTAAACATCAAACATATTTCTAAGCCAGGACAATTCTTTTATAGCTCTTTTGAGCGTGAATGTAACAGAATTATAGTATCACAAATATGATATACTCATATGGAAACTAATTTATTTCACAGCTATATGTTGTTTTACTTATTATACTTTTATTTATGGGAATAAACAGTATAAGAGAAAGCAGTTATGGTTTGGAAAATGTGACAGCTGACATAACCGTACTTACCCTTGGGTTCATCACCATCAAGTGATGGCTTGTTCAATTTTGTGAAGCAGCCAGCATTGCATATTGTCACCAAAATGCCAAAGGCGAATATTGTAGCCAAAATAAACTTCTGCAAAGTATAAATAAATAAACGTAAGGTGGTTTATCAGTGCAGTATTACAAATATAGCAGCAGGCAAAGTAGACCCACTTCCTTTCTTACTGACCGAACAAGGTTCTTAATTGGTTTCGGTAGGGTAGAAGCCAAATTTGGGGAAAATTCTACTTTGCCTGCTGCTATATTTTTAAGGTTGTGTGAAGTAAAGATTTGTTCTACATCTACACCAGCCTACAACCAGTTTTCTGCCTACATCTCCTATGGGATCATTGTTTGGATACTTTATAGTTAGAGCTGACCCTACACTTGTGCGTGTGTGTCTCTAATTTTTTATATATTTATAACAGTGTTATAACAATATCACACTATATATTTCCCCCCTTTTTTATCATGTACATGTGTATGGATATCGTTTTACCTCTTTGAGTGGTTTGAAAATTAACATTCTGAAAGTTGTGGTAATTTTAAATATTTCCTTTCTTCTACACTGTATTACACGGTGCACTTTACACTTGTGTGGCACTAATATTTTTTTTTTGAAAGTGTTGTATAAAGCATTATCAGTTGCACTTTAATTGCTGCACTTCATTGCAATTTTGCACAAAATAAGTATTGCATTTTTTACTTTAAAGATTTAAAGACACAGCACACTTTTTTTATTTTTACTCAATGCTAAACATTGTTAAAAAAAAAAAGAAAGAAAACAATAAACATAAAAAAAAGATAATACATATATGGTTACAATAAAATAGCCCTTTTTCAGGAATTTTTAAATGAAACCTAGTTCACCAAAGAGACTCTTTGATAGTACCAATAGCCATGTTAATTTGCGTGTTAACTTGTCTTAACATTAGGAATTATATGGGTAAAGCGCAATTCTCCATAACATGTATCCCATTGTACAGCGCTACAGAATCAGATGGCGCTATATAAATAATAATAATAATATTTAAAAAGCTGAGAATGTACCCTACATTTTAATAAAAAATCCAAGTCAAACAAGAGCCAAGCTATTCTAATTAGAAATATATACTAAAAAAAAGCAGCACCTAGTTTAATAAATGAAAGATGTCAGGAAAAAATATTGCTTTTTTTGCAAAACAGGACATACTGCACTTACCATTTTGTTTTTTCTGGATATTACTGCTTTCAAAAATGTCCTGCAGTGGCATCTTATATAGGAATGTGGTTGCACTTTAGTATGATCAATTCAGAATGACCTTTAATCTGTTTGCTTGTTTTTTTCAAGATCTAACCTATGGATGTTAAAGGGATTCTCCAGTGCCAGGAAAACATATTCGTTTTCCTGGCACTACAGGACCCTCTAGCGCCCCATCCCAAGTTGCTGAAGGGGTTAAAAATGTCCCATAATTAATTGCATTGTGAGTATGTATGTGGTATTATATTAAATATATTGTCTCTCCCGGTACATGCTTACCCAAGGTTTAATAGAATGTTTTTGAAATATATGATTATTCTTTTATTACTAACAACTAATACCCCAAGTACAGAGCAATCATTTACACAGATTATACTCTCATTTTAAGGGGTTCCCCAATTTTTGGGGTTTCTTTTTAGGGACTTTCCACTGTTTATACATATTAGGGTTAGGCCCTTATTTTGAGAATTATATACTTGGATGAGACCCATTTTCTTTTTTTTCTTTCAGTCTCTGCCCTTTATCTGTCTATATGGATGGCATCATCAGAAGTATTGATCAAAGCCAATCAAATGTTTGTTCCATAAGAAAGCAAAACCATTTAATTGGCTGAGACTGTCAAGCAGGCTAATCAGGGGCACAGCCAGCACAAGCCAAACACAGCCCTGGTCAATCAGCATCTCTTCATAGAGATACATTGAATCAATGCATCTCTATGAGGAAAGTTCGGTGTCTCCATGCAGAGGGTGGAGACACTGAATGTCAGCACTACCACAGGAAGCACCTATAGTAGCCATCTGAGGAGTGGCCAGTGGAGGTATCCCTAGGCTGTAATGTAAACTGCATTTTCTCTGAAAAACACAGTATTTACTGCAAAAAGCCTGAAGGGAATGATTATACTATAAAAGTGCTCATGTGCTGAATATTTGAGGTTTTTGCAGCTTCCACTCAACCATAGATTAGCTAATGCCAGGGCCAGACTGGGGATACAAAGCAGCCCTGGAAAAAAAAAATCTATGCCAGCCCCATAAGTCATTGCGCCATATATTGCCGTATGTAATATGTAAGGCAATGTCTTGCCACCCCAGATATTTGAGTGATTTTATATATATATATATATATTTATATTGCTTTTTCTAATATATAATATTGGTCCTTTCAGAGTAAAACGTTTAATTATACATTAAGCATACTCACATGCAGTGTTTACATTGCTTCCTAGTGACACCTCTAGTGACAGTTACTCAGACAGTCACTAGAGGTGCTTCCTGTGTCAGTGCTGCACAGTGTGATTGCACAGTGTGCAGCACCTACATTCAGGGCCTTTGCAGCCAATCTTGTGGCAGAGCATTGGATTGGCTCAGATCATCAAGCTTGATGATCTCAGTCATAGAGGCAGGGCCAGTCGAGGGGAGACCAGCACGGCGTGGGGAGAAATAAAAAAGGTGAGTAAAAACACTTTTTAAATACACACAAACACAGACACCATGACACAGACACACACACACACACACCATGACACACACATACACTCACACTGACAGAATTACACATATTACCTGTGGGTGACCGGCTGGGTGGGCTGGTGGCCACTGGGGGAGGTCTGCTGGCGGCCGCTGGGGGAGGTCTGCTGGTGGCCGCTGGCTGAGGGAGGTCTGCTGGGGGAGCTGTCTCTGTCTCTGCTCCCCAGCGCGCAGCTTAATGAGACCGGGGCCGGAATATGTTGTCATATTCCGTCCCCAGTCTCATTAAGCTGCGCGCTGGGGAGCAGACACAGCTCCCCCAGCCAGTGGCCGCCAGCAGACCCAGGTGTCTGCCTGGCCCCAGGTGCCAACGGCCCACCGGGAAATTTCCCGGTATCCCGGTGGGCCACTCCGGCCCTGGCTAATGCACAAAGAACAATGACATGCACAGGTTATGGAAATTATTTAGTGCATGAAGACTGTCTGGGTTCTTCACTAAAGTGTATATTTAAAGTGAATTTTGAATTGAAGGCGAAAGTGGCCGAACAGGAAGCATAACAGACTCTTTTCTGTTTAGCAATTTTGACCTTAAATTTTGAAAGCCGCTTTGAATTCCCTCAGCAAGAGACACTAACCTTGGTAAGTTGAATACATGATGCCAAGTGTGTGTGTGTGGGAGGGGAGGGGGGCTGCTATAACAGCCAGCTGGACTAAAAGAACACTCCACTGAACACTCCACTAGATGTCTTAAATTAATTTATTTCTGCATGTTTTCATTTGGGGTACATCTAATAGGTTGAAAAAGCTGCAAACCTGCTATCTGCAGCCTTTGCTTACCCTGCCTGCAAAACTCCAATCAGGGTCTTCCTATTGAGAAGCCTCTGTGTTGCATTTAATATAGCTCATTGAAAAGGGGGCTAGACATGTGCGCACTAGAACAACATACTTGCCATTTCTGTTAACTCTATGGGACTAGCAGAAGAGAACCTTCCTAGCTGTCTGACTGACGACCAGGTGTTCCTGCTCCCAGTTATAAAAGTGCTAATTTGTATTGAAAGCATAATTGTTATAAACTATTGCATATGTGACAGGTTCCAGACACAAAGGGAACTTCAGCAAGTTGGTTAGTCTTTAGCATACATTTCAAATAAAATAGAGCATCTCATGAAACAAAGTTCTTGGTGATTTTTAAAACACAGATCATTTAAGTGCAAAAGGAAGGTAACCAGGGCCTCAATCATGTTAAAGGGGTTATTTTGGCTTTTATCCTTGAGTTCCTGGATCAATATTTATTTTCTATATCTGGAAATGAGACCTTGCCGTCCTCAGGTCCTAAGCACAGTGGAAGCCTGGAGAGTGCTGTATCCATTACTTTATTTACATTGACATATAACATTGCCTCACACTATGTAAATATAAATTAAGAGTGTGGCAGTAGTAAACAACTGTCTCAGGTAAATAGGAGCTCAACGCTTGACCATGCTACTCGATAAATTAAAGGGTTTATGACTAAATATTTACCCAATAAAACTTGTAGGGTTTCCAATCGTAATTTGCTGGCATGTGAGCAAAGAAACCCCAGTAAATTCTTTTAATAGGTATTGTAAATTATGAAGTCTAAAGGATTAATACTCCTTAATCATGAAAATCCCTATAAAATGTAAAATCAAATAATGGTTATTACACATGTAGCTTCCATCTTAAAAAACATAACCTGCATCTGCCCCTTTCTTACGCAAGATGCTACCAAGGAGCTTGTCCATGCTCTAGTAATTTCCTGCATGGATTATTGTAACCCTCTCCTAATTAGTCTTCCCAGAAGCTGTATTGCCCCTCTACAGTCTGTAATGAATGCTGCCGCCCGACTGATTTTCCTCTCTAGTCGGTCCTCTCACACCTCACCCGTTTGACAGTCCTTACATTGGCTTCCTGTATCCTATAGGAGTCAATTCAAAGTGCTAACCCACACCTATAAAGCACTGACCAATTCTAGCCCCTCTTATATCCCCTCACAGATCCATAGGTATGCCCCTTTTCGGTCTCTCCACTCTGCCCGTGACCTTCTCCTGTCTGTTGCTCGCACTCACGTTTGCAGGACTTCTCGCGGGTGGCTCCCTTCCTATGGAATAGCCTGCCTACCGCCATCAGACTCTCCCCTTAGTGTTCAATCATTTAAGAAGTGTCTTAAAACCCATCTCTTTAGGAAAGCTTACCTTACATACCTGTCTCTTGCTCTCTCCTAAAGGGCAGCACGCTACTCTCTCCTCCAGCTCTGCTTCACTCCCACCTTATTTGATTGCTATTTCCTGTCCTAATGTGTTTTATACCCCACCTCCTATAGACTGTAAGCTCATTTGAGCAGGGTCCTCTTCAACCTATCATTTCTGTAAGTTTTCTTGTAATTGTCCTATTTATAATTTTAATATATACAAGCAGGGAAGATATGTCAGGTTGCTCATGAAGGTGGGGGGACAACCCCTATAAATAAGGATAGATGAAAATAATGAACCAAGGGGAGAATCGGATGTAGAAGAGAAAATTTAGCCCTCACGAGTCTGCCCTCTGGTGTGAGGAGAGCAACCCATAAATAAAATAATAAAACATAAGTTTTTAATGAATTTCCCTAAAATCCCAACAACTGTGGGAAAATTCAGTCATTACAAATCTTAATAAGTGCTATCTGACGTCAATACAAGAGCTTTCCCTGCCTTCCCATTTTCAGCTGTGCAGTATAGCAATCCGCTATCCCAGATATATCGTTCCCCTTCCTTTCCCACCTGACCAGTGGCTGCCATATCCGTCTGGAGAGTAGGGTCAGATACTATCTCCCTCCCAAACTCGGCAGTGGTATCCCAAGGTGAGGGGACCGAGGCAACACTGGGGTACAGGGATAGGTACGCGTGCCTACCTGAGCCTCAGAGTGTGAGCCGTGCCAGGTGGTGGCTTGCTGCAGGGTCGTTACTGGGTATGTCTCATTGGGGATCCAGAGGGGTACCTAGGTGGAGGTAAGGTGGCCCAGGTCATTGCCAAATAGCACCTCCACGGGCAGTTTTTCCATGAGTCCGACTTCCATTCTCTGGGCTCCAGCACCCCAGTCGAGGTGGATGTTGGCAGTGGGTAGGTGGTGTATGGCCCTCCCGGCTACCCGGACTGCGACTGTTCCCCTGGTCCTCTCTTCCTCTGCAATGAGCTGGGCTCAAACTAGAGTTAGGGTGGCTCCAGTGTCTCGCAGCCCTTGGACAGTGCACCAGTTCAACCAAACCGGCTGTCTGTGGTGGTCCTGGTTGTTGGTAGCGGCCATGCAAAAAGGACCAGGTTTCCTTGTGGGGGTTCTGAAGTTCGGTGAGAGTAGCCTGGTAACAGAGGGCTGCTGCTTGCAGGGCAGGAGGATCTGATGATATTTTGATGATATTTAATGATACTACGGTGGAGCTGGAGCTGGTGCAGCATAATGCATTATGGGAAGAAGGCAGGCCAGTGGCAGCAGTGTTATGCTCTAAGCAATGTTTTGCTGGGAAACCATGCGTCCTGGCATTAATTTTGGATGTTACTTTGACATGTACAACCTTCCTAGAGATTGTTGCAGACCATGTGTTCAGAGGGCTTGTGGAGTCTATGCCTTGAAGCTGTTTTGGCAGCATATAGGGGACTTATATGATATTAGGCAGGTGGCTTTAATGTTGTGGCAGGAGTCACAATAACTTGTCAAGCTTTACAAAGACCCACGTGTTGGTCAAATCATTGCCTGGTTCACTCTTGTCAGAATAAATACTGGCATTTCTATTGGACTAGAATCTTTTTAGGGAAACCATAAAAGTCTGCACCCAGCTAATGCAATTAAGAGAGATTGGCCTCCTTATTGCATTTCTGTAATTCCATAGTAGGTCTACAAAACATTTTTCAGACATTGATTTTTAGTTGAACTTCCCTCATTTTACACATTTTGAAATCTTGTTTGCCTTTTTTAGTGGATACAATTAATGTGCACACTAGCTGCAGGCACCTGGCAAATAGAAAAACCCTACTTTAGCAATGATGCCCTGATAGTAGGTATAGACTAGTAAGTGGCAATAGGTGGAACCTCTGAAAAAAAAAAAGAAAACATATACAAGGGATGCTTTACTCTATATTTTGAACTTTAATATTTGTATTATTGTGACTTTAGCAACCAACTATTTTATTAATCAACAAAGATAGACAATGCAGTTTTGATCGTCATTGTTCCAGTAGATTCAGAGATGATTTAAGGATAGAATCTGGATCATGCTGACCTCATTATTAGCCAACCATTGCGTAACGCTCGCACTCCTTTGTAGGATCCTTCTTTTGTAGTACTTCCACAGTGCATGCATTCTTGTCATACTTGACAAAACATTTCTTCTTGTCATAGTTGACAGGTCTACCATGACTGGAACATAACAGTAAAAGTAGAAATCAAAAGTGAGACGTAGTCATGTTCTATTATTACTTACAGCTATCATATGTATCACTGTTTGCATGTGTATCTATACATAGTGACTATTAGCTGGCTTCTGTTTACCCCTATTGAAATATTCATCTCCAAATCCAGCATTATGTACAATTGCATGCATGAATGCAGTACTCTATGTGGCTGTTTGCAGTGGTGCTCATCAATATCTTGGCATATTTACACAATTATTATTTTTATAAATATTCCCTGACACATCAATAGAATAGTGTTACGCTGCCGATCCAGAGAGACCGCGAGCCTGCGCCCAGTCGGCACATTCTCAAGCCCGCATCCAGTTGTGTGACAACGTGTCCGCGCCCGCTCAGCATGGACACGCTACTCAGGGGCGTTTTAGCCGCGAGGCAAACAAGGCATTTGCCTTGGGCGGCATTTTTCAGGGGGCGGCAAAAAACGCCGCCCCCCAAATGCCCAGGCAAATGCTTTGTTAGCCTCGCGGCTAATTGACCGGCTGGGCTGGCGGGCAGCGCTGGGCAGGCGGCTGGCGAGGGAGCTCTTCCCCTGAGCGGTGCGCTCAGCTCCCTCGCGCGCCGCAGAGTGAGGCTGGGAACCGGAAGATGACGTCATCTTCCGGCTCCCAGCCTCACTTTGCGGCGCGCGAGGGAGCTGAGCAGACCGCTCAGGGGAAGAGCTCCCTCGCCAGCCGCCTGCCTAGCCCAGCCGGCATCCACTGGACCACCAGGGAGGTAATGAACCCCTCCCCCCCAGCACTCCCAAAGGTAAGGGGGGGGCTAAATAAAAATAAATTAAAAAATGTGTTAATGTGAGTGAGTGAGTGTGTGTCTGTTAATGTGTGTGTGTTTTGTTAGTGTGTGTGTGTCTGACTGTGTCTGTTAGTGTGTATGTGTGTGTGTCTGACTGTGTGTCAGTGAGTGTGTGTGTGTCTGTTAATGTGTGTGTGTTTGTGTGTCTGCTAGTGAGTGAGTGTGTCTGTTTGTGTGTGTCTGACTATGTTTGTCTGTTAGTGTGTCAGTGAGTGTGTGTGTATCTGACTGTGTGAGTGTGTTTGCCTGGGAGTGTGTGTGTTAGTGAGTGTGTGTCAGTTAGTGAGTGTGAGTGTGTCTGTTAGTGTGTGTGTGTTTCTGTTAGCGAGTGTATGCGTATCTGTCAGTGAATGTGTGTGTATTTAGAAGGTGGGGGGGGGGTTGGTGCAGGGGGGGTTGGCGCGGGGGGAGGGGAGGGGCGCCTGCGTTTTGTCCTGCCTAGGGCAGCACAAAACCAGGATACACCACTGACGCTACTAATAAAAATAATAAACTTACTTCTTGCTGGGCCTTCCTCCGCTCTCCACGCTATAGAGCAGGGAATTGCGCTGGCGTTCTCGTGAACGCCAGCCACTTCCAAAGGCCGAAATTTAAAGGCACAATCTCCATTTTTGATGCTTGTGATACGGACATGCATGCGTCATCAACGTGCATGCACGTTTTGGCATCACCAGGTCCCAGTATCCGATTAGAGCCCTTCCTGGTCCATTTATTTTATGCTCTGTCATGGTTAATATTTGTTAATCTGAGAGGCAATTTGTATTTCTTGTATTTATGGAATTTTGACTTTGGCTTATCTGTCACTATTATTCTTTCTATTGTCCTTGACCTTTGGCTATTCCTTACATCATTCATCTGTTTCTTTGACCTCAGCTTGTCCTGTACTATTCTTTTGGTGTTTATTCTGGCCATTCTAAGGTCTGGTATTACGCTTCCTGTTATTTTAGTATTTGCTGTCCTTGTCTTTGCTTGTTGGATCCTATCTGTCCGTGACAAATAGAAGCAGTCATTATTGCACTATCATGGTGAGTCTACCACAGACACAGCAGTAATTAAAAGTTGTTTAAACAGTTTATACGTTTTCTAGCTAACTATATCAGGGGTACCCAATTAATTTTTCCTGCGAAACCCTTTGTCATAGTGTACCAACATCATGTAACACACCAAAAATGTTTTGAGCGTAAAATGTCAGAGCGTAATGTTTTTGTTTTGTCAAATTTCAGTTTTTTTAATATAGGCACTAACTTCTACAAATAGTATAGAGATTGTAGGCGTGCTTCTGATTGTAGAGTTGGTGTTTGTATATCATTTTAGCATTTTAATACAGGGGTATGTTTTGTATGTAATGTTTGCATTTGCATGCAGTTGTGTGTTTGGATAGTGTTGAATTTTAAATGTGGATGTACATTTGTGTGCAGTATTGGTGTTAGAAGAAGGGTATGTTTGAGTGTTTGTAAATTTTTGAGTTGAAGTTCAGGGGTGTTTTTGTATGTCATTTTTGTGTTTGCAGGGGGATGTTTCAATGTTGTGTTGGTGTTTGATTGCTGGAATGTCTGCACATACACTGCCAAACACATACTTACACATATATACATGCACATTAACAAACAAACACACAGATACACACATATACACAAACCTTAACACACAGATACAGATACACTGCCTAACACACACATTGACACACAGGTAAACAAACTGGCACACACACACACACTGGCAGATACACAAAGACTTACAGATACACACACACATTGACACAGACAGACACACACCTTGACACACATATACACACGCTGGTACATACAAACACAGATACACACACACACCTTTACACACAGAAATACACACCAGCTGATATTCACAGGTACACACCCTAACACACATACACACACAATGGCACATAGATACACACACTAGCATACACACATACACACATATACACTGACAGATAACACTTTAAGTTGGATATACATCCAGACTCCAGATAATTGTTAACTCTAACAAATGACTTGAAGTGTTAAGTGCAATTGTGTCTTTTTATTAAAGATTCAGAATGTACTGCACCACCTCATTTATTCTCTTATTTTCAGTTTTTTGGAGTGCCAAAAATAACTACTTACAAAATGTAATAATTTAACATCATATTATACCCATAACAATTGGATTCTCAACGCCCAAAATAATTTGTGGTTTGTGAGGGCAATTAATTTAACCCATTAGGGGCTGATTGCCGAAACAGTGTTATACTGTGTGATTCTCTCATTCCTTTCAAGGTTTGCTGTATCTCCCCTTGTGTTTGCATGATAGAAAGGTGTAAGAATGTGCAGTGCATCACAGTTTGCTATGTAAGAGGAAGTATAGCAAAAAACTGGTCAGAATAACAATGACAATTCCTGTCCACCACCACCCTAGTGCATCCTGTGTGGCCATTACATGTTAGATGACATGCTTATCACTGGTGAATATGATGTACTGTAGCTCATAAAGCGAATGTGAAAGCTGTTTTACAACGCCCACAGGAATTTGGATTTAAAGTAAGCATTCATTCTCCACTCCTGTCTAATTTACAGGAGATTAAGTCAATTTTTCAAAGTGGATGGCCTAAAGTAGTTCAACTTGATATTCAGCCATATTTTTCCAGGATGAATGGAAATGTGCATGGCTGTTTTTTCTAGGATTCACAAATAATAATTCCTACTTTGCTGCAAACATTCAATCTGAAGTTACTATACAGCTCACACCAGGGTATAGTAAAAATAGCGCAAAGAGCATGGGAATATATTTGGTGGCCTGCCATTGGATACAAATATATCTTCTTGCTTACAATACATGTGCACAGACTTGTGGAAACCAGCCAGGGATTCCTCCAAGGCTTGCCCATGGCAAACTGAACCATGGACAAGAATCCATATTGATTTTGCAGGACTAGTGGACGGATGAATGTATTTAGAAGATGTGGATGCTCATTCTAAGTGGAAAGAGGTGGTTGGAATGTCAAGTACTACAGCAGAACAAACCATTGTCATACTTTCTAGTTCATTTGCAAGGATGGACTGCCTAAAGCAATGGTCCACAATTCATATCACAGGAATTTTTCTGGATTCAAATAATATCCTACACTATAAGACAGCTTTATATTTTTCAACCTCGAATGGACAGTTCGAACGATTTGTACAAACTTTGAAATGTAATTTAGCTGTCTCTCACAAAACAAAATTTAATCCAGATACACTTTTCAATTTGTTATTTTACTATCAGAACAAACCACATGCCACAAATGGCCTGTCACCTGCTGTATTAATGTTTGGAAGAAGCCAGAGAACTCCTTTTGATCAAGTTTGACCAGAACCTCACAAAGAGGGGTTGAACTTCACTTCTAATGTTCCAGAGTTAAACATTCATCTAGATTATTGATTAGAAACTACTATGGACAGGATAAATGCATCCATAATACAATGCATGAGCAACAG